GGTTTGGTTTCATATTTAAAAGTATTGCATTCTTCCCAACATTTTTAACTTGTATGTTCAAAAATATTTAAAACATTAATCTTATAAAATTATTTATGCATTTGAAATTTTGTGGTGTAAATGCATTTATGGCACCTCAGCTTCATTAAACTGTCTGTGTAAATATATCTAATGCCACTTCAGATGTAGCTTCTGTTTCCTCTGCATTGAAAAGATGGAGTTTGTTGATAGTATGCGCACTCTAATGTGAACATTAAAATTTGCAAAAATAAATTATTCCACTGCTCCCAAAGAAAAGTATGAACACCGATGACAACAGAGTTGCACTGTCCAAAAAGTTTGTGGTATAAATGTGCTTTTTTTACTTGAAACATATGTTGTCTTTTTCCTTTATTTTGTTGTCAGAGTGCACCAGATCGCTTCATTTACATGTTAAATTCTCAAAAATGTTCTTCTAGGGGGGATGCCCCCAGACCCCCTTACAAGGGTCCGAACTATGTCACATTTTTGACCCTTGCGAGTTTGCAGGTATGATAAGTATAAGCAGACACCAGACAAAAATACACACATAATCACAGGTGGTCAGGAGGACTAATGAATGCGGCTGACGGACAACACGAGATACGTAACGCTCGTCCCTTTATGACGTCATCATCGGGAAGACCGCAGATGGAAAGATGGCTGCGTTTCGCTGTCGGCGAGACCCGTGCGGCTTTATTTGTCTCATTTTAACTTATTTCAGCGTCTTTTACGCCGACTATGTTGTGATTCAGTATGTCCTGATCCCCGCGTATTCTGGAAGGTGAGTACCGTGTGAACGAAGCTCTAAAGAGCCAGCGTTTGATTCACGTAACATCATCCGCTGCTCATGAGAACATCGCTTTATGATAGTTTCTTTTAGAATCACCCATAGCAACAGCCGTTCAAAACGTTATCAGCGTTCTGGCGTGCTTTCCCGCGAAATGTGTTTACAGTGCGTTTGAACGTCTTGCAACTAGTACTAGCGTCGTTGTCAGACTTTGCGGTAGCGCATCATTCAACGTGTGTTTACGACACTTTCAGTCTGTTACAGTATATGGTTTAGGTTTCAGGTTATCTCACCTGAAATTAATCAGCCATCGTGCCTTATACTATATAGTTTTATTCTATACCGCTGTCATTTTAAAAAAAATTCTAAATATAATAGTTATGAATATTTCAACATGTGCTGTGTATTTTCTCTCTGTTTAGTGTATGGTGCACTCTCCATGGATCTGTGTTTAATATTATTCTATTGCTATTGCTGGCTTGCCATTCAAAAGCAGTGTTCTCTGATCCTGGTGAGTGCTCTTATTTAATGGATCAAACTCATTTTCTCTGTGTTTCATTTATTGTAGACTGTGTTTTAAGGCCAAGAAGTCTGCTGTATTATATTTGATGCATGAATTTCCAGGTGTTCTAAATTATCAACATGATCAAAACTTGGCTAAAAAAACATGTTGTACACAATCTACTACATGCCTTCTGTCCTCTGTTTGACATTTTAGACTTTTTTTTTAAGAGGTAAAAGACTTTTTAGTATAATTGTTAAAATGGCCACTTTCGGGTCATGATAGACATCTTTTTGCAACGTCTTTAGTGGTTTTTATAAAGTAAATGTAAGAATACTTTTATATTGTAAGTAGTATTTCAAAATGAACATGAAGCAACTTAGGTTTACTTGATTATCCACACAATCAGTTTGTATAAATCATATTAAAATGCAAGTATCAAATATAATACAGCAGGCTTTTGAGGAACATTCTATTGCATTGCATTATATGTGTTGCCCCCACAATAAAAACAGAATTTCTTCTTACTTTATGGTCCTATAAATAACATCTTAACTCAATTGTATATTTATGCTCAGTTTGGGCCTCTAAATAAAAGTGTAAATGTTTTTTCTTCCTCGAGTATGAGTTCCATATTCTCACTATATCACACTATATGGACCATCATTTCCTCCTGATGTAATAAATATGATACAAAACATAACACGCATATTCATATTTTTAGATTTAAAAAAAAATTTTGTCTAAAGGTTCAATAAACTTCCATTTAATAAGATTTTTCTGACTATTATTTCATATGTCAGGCTTTACAGGGTTAAGAAAGGCTATCAATGTAAACTTTAACCATTTATCATTACAGGTATGGTTCCTCTATCTGAGACAGACATTGATTTCTCTGACTTGAGGTCCCAGACCAACCGTCTAAATGACAGAGTGAGTGTTGCTGATCTGTCTGCTCCTGTAATGGTATTGAAGTTGTATTCATGTTGTGTAGATGTATCAACTATTTTGCAAATGTTATTTTCTATTTTTACTTTTCTGTTTATGATGTAGTTGTTATATTGATTTAATAGTGGTCTTTTAAGCTTTTTCACATAGTGTGTGTGTATTCTATTGGATCTTATTTCTCAGTGCATTTGCTCTATGACATGTCTTTAATTTTTGTATTGTTCTCATCAGGGCTGTGAGGGCTGGACAGTGTGCAGTCGCTGTGAGACGTATCGGCCTCCTCGTGCCCATCACTGCAGAGTTTGTCAGCGCTGCATCAGGAGAATGGACCATCACTGCCCGTGGTCAGTCTCTCATCGTTCTCTAGTGGCCAATGCCATCAAATTAAATGTATATTCATGTGTCTTGTATTTCCGATTTTGTAGTGACTGGGTGTTTTTAAAGTAGAATAAGCGTTTGCTATATACTTGTGCTATAAAGTATATAATGTATATTTGTATATAATGTAGCATCAGTGTTTTTTCATTGTTTCTGATGAATGCATTTGCATATGTGTTTGCTCTTTTATAGGATCAATAACTGTGTTGGAGAGCTCAATCAGAAATACTTCATTCAGTTCCTCTTCTACACAGGTGAGTTTTAAAAGGATAGTTCATCCAAAAATCACTATTCTGTCATCATTTACTCTTCCTCATGTCATTCCAAACCTGTATGACTTTTTTTCTCCTGTGGAACATGAAGGATGATATTTTGAAGAATATTGGTAACCAGACAGTTTCAGGGTCCCATTGACTTCCATTGTATTTTTATCCTTACTATGAAAGTCAATGGGACCCAAAACTGTTACAAGTTTGGAACGTCATGAAATTATGGCAGAATTTTCTTTTCCCTTTAAGAACGTCTTAAACAAATACTCACATATTCTATTTTACATTGCAAAAAAAAAAAAAAAATGCTATGTTGGATGCAAATGTTAGGGCAGAAGTACATACACTATGTGGTAGGGCTGCACGATTAATCGAATGCGTTTGTCATGCGCATTTTGTTAGTAATGCCGGTTCTGTAATCAGCAGTAAATCATCATCACGTGCTTTCAGATGGAGCAGTATTTATTACACAGAGCCGTAGTTCACTGACAAGTTACGCAAAAAAATCGCAGACGATTTTATTGTGCGATTATGAAATCGTTCGCGATAAAGTGAAGTGACATGTGGCCAAGTATGGTGACCCATACGTAATTGAGGAATATTGTGACAGTGATCATGACAGCTGTTTGCCTAGCTTCTCAGTGAAATACGGCTCTGTGTAGTAAATGCTGCTCTTCACTGAAAGATACGCATGACAATCGCAGCTTCTGTCGAATCGCGATTCCGATTCCATTTCAATTTATCGTGCAGCCCTACTATGTGGTATTGTTATATTTTTTTATTATTTTCCATTTCTCTCCTCTAATGCCATGTTGTTTCTGTGTATCTCTGTAGGCATGGCCAGCTTGTATTCCATGGCGCTGGTGGTGTCAGCATGGGTGTGGAGAATAAGGAGTGAAATAGAGGGAGATGGAGATGAAGAAGAAGAAGCTCCCAGCAAACATCTCATTGTGTAAGTCACAAATACCTTCTGAGGTACTGTATATGTTAGTCTAAAATATAACACTGTTCTTGGCCATTTGTTCCACAGGGCACATTATATCATTCTGCTGGTGGAGTCAATACTTTTTGGAGTTTTTGTCTTGGTGATATTTTATGATCAGGTATGCTTCAACATTATATAGCTTCTAATTTTGAACCATATGTTAACATTATAGTCTAAGTTTAAAAAACTTTTTTCACTCAGTCACAGTATTGTACTTACATTCATTGTAACAGTGGGCCTGTTTACACCTGGTCACTTCATGCGTTTTCTCTGATCAGATAGCTATCCGATTGTGAAAAGACTAAATGCCCTCCGAAATGCTTTCGAGACAGATTTGAATCTGATCACTCAAACCACTTCAGGAGGTGGTCTGGGACGCATTCCAGACAAAACTGGACAAGTGTAAATGCATCTGGTTGTTGAAACCACATATGTAAATTTTGCTCCTCCCAAAATGTGTGAGAACGTGTTATAGGCTATATGACATGTCATAGCCAGATATGATAGCGCTAATGCAACACACATCGCCACGGATGAGAAGCTGAGTATCTCTTCAGCAAGCCGATGCGCAAACTGCCGCAAATGAAACTGAAAGTAAGTTGTCGACGCTCAACACATAATCATCTTCATTAAAGGTAATAAGACAAACAGGGATCATTCACCCAAAATGAAACTTACCTTCTCACCTCCGTGTTGCATTTCTTTTTACTGTGGTACACAAAAGAAGATAGTTTTGAAGAATGTTGGTAACAGATTCCTTTTAAATAATTTTTTTCTTAGCACAATACTTTTTAAGGAAATGTAGGAATATTCGGTAGTGGAAGTCTAACCAACAGCAATGACATAATTATAATATTTCATATTGGATTGCTACTGGTCGTCTTTTTACTTTTTTATTTGAATTCTGAATTGTGATTTTTCTTTATTAAACATCTTTAGCCACCTTTAAATTGCAATGATAATGTTGTGTTGTGTGTTGATTCTCATTGCACAGTTGACAGAATGATAGAATGAATGACGTGATTAGTGCAGAGTGGCTCTTTTTAAACTAAAGTATAATCTTAAGCTTGTCTAAAACTTCTTTCGGCTTTCTAAACACTAATATTTTCTTTAGGAAAATCTTATTTTTGTAAATGTTATTCATGTAATTGTTTAAATGTGAATGTTGTGCATGTGTTGATCTGTCATCTTCTGTCTCTGTTGTTTTTGTCCCAAGCTGGTGTCCATTATAACAGATGAGACGCCCATTGAACAGACGAGGAACAGACTAATGAAAGACAAACCCAACAACACCTACCCGACACACATTACACACAAAAGAAAGCCAAAAATGGCTTTGCTGAGGGAGGTTTTTGGACGTGGTGAGTTTAACTATTTACAGTATCTGTTTTTATCCTGCTTGTTAGAATTGTATCACTGTCACTGTTACAAATTGAGAAATAATGTTTTATGTTATTTAAAACAAAACAAAAATGTGTATTTTTGTAAATGTTTTTCAGAGTCTCTTATATTTGTCAAGGCTGCATTTATTTGATAAAAAATATATAGAATGATAATTGAACAGAATGATGTAGAATGTAATGAAAGTATAGAATGATCATTTTTATGTCTGCTTGTATTTCTCTTATATTTACAGGTTCTATAATATGTTGGTTGTTCCCGCTCCATTCCTCCCCTCCTTCTGTTGGCGGCATCAGTTATTCAGCACTTCCTGATTACGATGTGTAACACTAACCAGTTTTTCATCAGTTCATTTGAATGTTTCATCAGTATCGCATCGTGTTTAGAACACTGAATATTACGTTACTAAGGTGCAAATTTCAGCTATGATGAAGGAAAAGGGCTGCTGTGTGAGAGTTTTTGTATACTGACTTCTGCTTACTGTTTCTCACACAGTCTTGTAACTAGGGCTGGGTATCGTTCAAACATTATCAATACCGATACCTTGACTTCGATATGCGATTTCAACAGTATATGATTTGTATGTGATTTTCATTAGATTTTTATAACAATACAGTGTGATTTTTACATGAAAAATGCTAAGCAGGTGAGGCGATTAGCTTGATATAAAAGGCTACAAATAAAATATTTCTGCCACATTATATGACCAAAACCCTAATTAGATCGCAATCGGAAGTTATTAAAAAATACTTGATGGTGGTTTAAAGTGAGTTTTGAGTAAAAGCATAGTATAAATTGTATAAATTGTCTTATGTAGCATGATGCTACAGTGTGTATGAATGGTCATGTAACGTGTTTTCCTTGATGCCTCACCAGAGCCAATCACTGATTTAGGCACATAAAGCATGCTGCATGCTTATTGGCTCACTGACTTTGATGAGATTAACCCCTTAGGTATCGAAATTTGGTAACGAACGACAAGACACCCAGCCCTACTTGTAACAATATTCTGTTACAAGATACTTCCGAGTATGGGACACCATATTTGGTCACACGTCACATCACTTTACGAGATACTTCTACAAACCTGGATCTTTTTCCTTTCCCTGTTCATCTAAATGATTTCTCTTCATACAGCTAACCCAGGACATTGATTTTGATTTTTAAATTTAATATGAACTATTATTAAAGTATTAGTGGATTTTCTAGTATACATTTACTAGTATACTAGTAACCAGCATACATTTTGTTACTTAACCATTGATTGGCACACACCGGGATGTGAGCACACACTCACAAGGTCAGCTGTGTTGACTTTATTTCAGGTAAATGCAATAGGACACATTCATTGTTTTTATTGTGTGTGTTGAAGCACATGGACTGTACTCCATTTTACAAGGATTGTAAATACATATTTTATAATTGTAATTTCTGACAAAAGTATTGCATTTTCAGGGTACTGGACTACTTTTGTTGAAGTGCTTGTTTTTGTTTTGTTTGATATGTTCATGTGTTTGCTGTTTTATGGACAGCTTGAGGGATGTGTGTACATAACAGATGAACATGTATACTGATAATGTTTACATTGTTATTTATTGTAATGTATCTGGATTTTTTTTGTGTCTAAATGCTGCTCTGACTTATGTGAAGTAAGACATCTTTTCATATTCTGGCTTTTTCGCTTGAAAATTACAAGTTTGAGTGGAAATAAACCAGTAGTGTTAAATATAGATTGTTGTGTGTTATTATTCAAGAAATCTACAATATGTTTGTGTGTGTGTGTGTGTATATATATATATATATATATAAAATAAGGTTTAAGGTTGTACTTTTTATTTTGTAGTAATTTTTTAAGGTAGTACTTTTTATTTACTGTATATTTTTAATCATTTATCTCTTATTTAAAAAATTTAACCTATTGTGGTAATAACACCGCGTTATATTTATTATAGAATAAAAAATAACGTGACTAATGAAAGGATTTAGTTTGCTCATAATGCATGACATTCTCTAATACGGGCAGCTTTTAGAAAGGCGTGTATAGGGAGTTGTGAACATTAATATTTCACTCGAAGCACAGCACACCTAAATGAATGAGAGCTAATTAAAAAGGGATCATATTAATTTTTCAATCCTTTTGAGCTCGTCGCTTACTGGACCATTCCGTGGTCACGTGCTTGTGTTGTTATTTTTGTTGTCGACTTCCTGGTAGCAAAAATCATGTGATCATGTGACGCTTCCTGGAGCTTTACTTTCACGCATCACTTTTGCTCTCCGCAACAACATTTACCAGCAGCAAACGCTACGTCCACAGCGGGATTTTGTTTCGGACTTGCGCTCGTTTACGGCATGGCTGACGGTGAGCGATCGCCTTTGCTATTGGACAGTCGCGATGGAATGAACGGGCTGTCACCGGGAGATGACACCTATCGACCTCCGAGCAAACCACAGAGTGAGTGAAACCTGATCGGGACTGACAGAAAGCCCTTTGAGCTTTCTACCTACACTGCATTTTTGGGCATCGTAGGCGGATTCTATTCGATTCAGTAAGATTGGAGCGTTCGAACGCGCCTGTGATGCCCAGACTCACATGCTGTCTAGGTTGGCAGAGCACTATTTAGAATCCCGTTATTTATTTATAATTTTTATTTTGATTTATTTAGAGCACAGTATGTCTGTGCATATCTTGATCATGTGATTTTACTTGCCGTAATCTGTAATCTGCAGATCCAAAGCACACTACAAATAGATCAGTGGCAGATAGACAGTACACCTGAATCACATGACTGAAGGAATCGTGATTTTTGCCCTCACTCTTATCACTTTATTAGTTTAAGTAATATTTACTCTGACCCAGCCTGAGCATTAATTCAAGTTAAAACTGTTGACTACTTGTAAAAATGTTAACTGCTTAACTATCTACACACAATATTGCTCTGGTTAACAAATTCATTTTCTTCATTTTGCTCAATGCATATAAGATGGCAATAAAACTAATTGAATTAGTTTAAAAGTTAATATGATTAGTAATGAAGGGATGATGTTGAATAAACCATTTATTTATGTTGATTTTTTTATTATATAATTATTTTTTTGATGTTTATATTTGCATAATATTTTTGTAATGTTTGGAGGCCATTTCTGTCAGATGTTAGCGTAAATCTATTAGCGTATTAAGACATACAAATAATAATATTATTAGTAATGAGGTCCATTTTATGTCCATTTTTTTTAAAACATTGCTTTGATTGCTTTGATAA